AAGATCGGAGCATTTCATGTTCATTTTATTGCACTGACATCTGCCTTGATTGCACCCGGTCTTACAACCGCATTTGATGATCTCCATTAAACCTGTCTCTTATACACATCTCCACCAAAGACCCTTTTCATCGGCGTTAAAAATTTGATCTCTCGTCAACTGATTTTCCTCAATGATGCCTTCAAGTTTGGTTTTGAACGGGTCAATCGAGTTAACATCAGCTGATAGTGATTCTCCTTGTAGTGTCGTCCCTGAACAGACACTCCCTTAGCCCTCTCCTGTTCCATTCACGTGTACATGGCCGCGTCTATCAGCTGATAGTGATCTGTCTCTTATACACATCTAGATGTGTATAAGAGACAGTACCTAGCCTAAGCCTTGGCCTTTAGGCCTAGCTAGTTAGGCCCTCCTCGGAGTAGCCTAGCCTAGGGGCCTACAGGTATATGTCTAGGGCTAGCCTAGGGCCTAGGTAGGCCTAGACCGGCCTAGGGCCTAGGCCTATCACAGTTCAGTCATACCTTACAGATTTTACACGTAGGTCAACTTCTTCGACGGCAGGTTTTAGTAAATCTAAAAGACCGCCTGCCATAGCATCTCTCTTATCTTTATTTATCATTATTCCATGACAATCAAATTCAGAATCATCATCGGTTTCATTTTCCTTCTTGTTTTGATTTGACGCCATTTTTCTGACTACGCCCTCTAGGCCTAGAGTAACTTTCGACTACTTTGCTTTCGACCCAACCACCAATTGCCATAGTTCGAGTAATGATTTCTCCGAATATGATTTAAATCATTTACAGTTATTTCATTTATTCTTAAATTTTTAAAGGCTTAAGTAGAAGTTTGTATTATTCCGTAACTACAATTTTGCAGTACCTTAGTACCTGTTCTACAAGCTGTTGCCAAACTGCTGGCAATAAGTAAATTCATATCTTAATTGGACCAGACTTCCCTGATTGGAAAAAAGGTATATAGAAAGACCGCCTGGAAATACCCGGTGTTTTATGCCTTTATCTTACTTTTAACTTTTTTTTTCTCTTTCGTGGCGTAACCACCACCTTTATTCAAACAATCAGTACAGTACAGTACAATATTTCCTTCTATGTCGATTTTTTTTCCATTAACTTCATGGCATTACCGTTTATTTTTTTTATTATATCATTTTTTAACAACCAATAACGTGTATAATCGAATAAAGGTATTTTGGAATAAAATATAATTTAAATTGTTTAATAGAATAATTTTATTTTTTTTATATCACATTATACGGTACGGTTTATCATTATAATATAACATACTTTATTTAATATAATCTTCATGAAATGAAAGAATACCATTTTTTTAAATTTTAAATATATATTATATATACACATATACATTCACACATACCAATATATAGGCCTATATATATGTTTACATATAGGCCCATATATGCATACACATATGGACCCATATATATATATATATATATATACTCACGCTGATGAAGTCCACAGGAGTGGACGAAATATTCGTGTTTAATAAAATTATGTTCCAAAAATACGTCAACTTGACTTTTGTTTTCATTGTCATCACTTTCACCAATATATTTGCTATAGAACAACGTGCTACATCATTTCACAATGATACCCCATATATATGTATACATATATATATATATATATATATATACATATATACATACACACACACACATAGGCCCATACATCATACACATCACACAAATTTATAAAATTTGATAGTGTGCACAAAACTTAATGATATACTGTGGCCTACTGTGACAATATTTATTATTTGTTTCTCTCATGTTTGAGAGTGTACAAATGAAAAATTACTCAATTCCTATACTTGTCTATTTTCCTATAATACAAAGGTTCATTGGCCTAATAGTTGTATTGAATTTTAAGGAATTTAATCTATGGACCTATAATAGTAGGCTTATATCTATACTGAGCCCGATGATCGTGCTAATATTCAGGCATACGCCAGCCTAAAAGTGCCTTCACGCCTAATCCGATCCTTCGGACCAGAAAGCCTATCGAAATCAAAACGGATGTATAAAATTATGGACGAATTCCTTCAGCACATCGGAAACGCTTCCATTACGGTTTGGTTCCGATGTGAATGCCGCTAAATGGGCCTATTTTACAAATACGTAGGCCTTTTTTTCTTGTATGGTTACAAACGTTATTCCATTGTTTCTTTTCATATTAATTTTAAAATATTTTTGATATTAAAATATAACTCTTAATTAATTTAATATACTTATAAATATTCTTCAATTTAATCCCAATTATTCAAAATTAGTACAATGATAATAATACTATAGATAACAAAATAAAACTCATTCAAGTATAACGTTCCATTCATAATTATTTTCTTTTACAAAATTCTTAAATATAATCCATGCATTTTTACAAACTGGCTTACCTAGCTCTGTTAGAATTTTAATTTTGTATATAGCAAATACTGCAATGGAATATATCTCATTTTTAATTCTGATATCACAGCCTATTAATAATTCTTTAAAAGAAGATTGACTGTTATCAAGTTTCTTAAATAGATTGTTTATATTTTCCCATAATATCCTATTTTTTAGACATTCAAAAAACATGTGCTTTTCATTTTCGACTGCTCCACACGTATCACATGTGTCAGTGTGTTTTAACTTCCATTTATACAATTGCCTATTTGTTGGAGAGATTTTGTTTAACAATTTATAATTTAGTTGTGCATACTTTCTATTTTGTGTAGGCCTACTTTATTTCTATTAGATAATGTTTATGTTAATTAGATAAATTAATTTTTCTGTGATATTCTCTCTTGCCAATCGACTAATTATAAGCCATACTCATTGTTGTTTTATCGTAGTTATTGTTATATAAGAAATTTTATTTATACAGTAATGTTTTATTTTATTTATCATCTTTATTCGTTTATTGCTTGTTTATTTATTTGTTTTTTAACTACAATATAATTTTAAAAAATCGAATTGAATTTTATTAGGATTTTCATGTACTCGTTTGTTGCACACAGTTACGGACAGATTATAAAGGAAAATGCTACATTATGTAGACCTACGAACTAGCCTATATGAAAATAATGTTTAGGCTCTCAATCAATGTTTATTTAATAGTTTATGCACAAACGCAACTCTCATTATGTCGACGGACTAGACCGTCGATGCCGTGGCCCTTTCTGAATCCGGATGCGAGGCTTCTGATTAATAATCAGTCTTTAATAATCTCAAATCAATGTTCACGGTAAGTAGACTGAGTTTAGAAACACGTTTCTTCCTCCTTAATAGTCTACCGGTTCTAGTCCGATCAGCGAGCCGCCGACCGGGCCGCCGACCCGGAACAGTGGACCAGAATGAGACCACTCGAATTAGGCCTACTATAGGACTCGGAGGGTGACCTGAGCACCCCCTTTTTGTTCAAACGTGAACCAATAATAGGAAATTAATATGATTAATTTAGATTAACTACCATAGCCATCGATATTGTGCAGTCCGTTCCTAGATTCAAGATTCCAAGATTCAAGATTCATTTTCCATAACAAAAAAATTGAAACCAAACAGAAGTTAAAGGTGTGCACTCAACTAGGGGCGGCTCTAGAATATAATTTATGGGGGGGGGGGGGGGGCGGAGTGG